GGGGAAGATGCAACAGCGTGTGGCTCAGCGACTTTCCCAATTTAGCAGCAACTGCTACATTTTTCTTCTACATAAGTCACGTTGCCCTGTGAGCTGTTAGCACCTACAGCAACCTGTGCAAACACTGAGACCCAAGCGTTCCCTCCCCACCATACGCAGCACAGGCTGATTCTTATACTGGTTTGAGGTCGACACCTCACAGTGTTGCTTCGCACTCCTTGAAGGAGGCAGCGCACAGTCACTTCCCACTTACCCTCTCCTGCCACTCGCTATTTTCTAGCCAGTTTCACTACTTTGTATTTACTAAGTCTAGAATTGAGGCCAACAAGAAACAGAAGCTTCATTCCCTTTATGAGACCACCATGAGAACTAGCAAAGGCTTTTAATAGCCCAAAAATTAGAATAGAAGAGTGAGAGTCACTGCTTTCCACCACATAAGAAAAGGTCGAGCTCACTGTGATTGCCCAATACTAGCAGAATCTAATTAAAAATGTTTCATTAACAGCAGTCTAAGAACACAATGCACTGAACGCTGAGCAGATCTCCCAGTGTGAGTCTATGGAAATGGGCTTGATCCTCCAAAGTACTGAATGCTCACAGACCAAAGCACTAGGTCATATGCTTAAATTTTAAGAATATGAATATTGACACCAAAGCTGGAGCAGGAGGCTATGCCCTTTGCTCCATCAGAGTGGTGCAAAATTAATATAATCAAACCCATCAGTCATGTATGAACATCACCCCCTGAGTCCCAAGGGAGCTGCAGGTGCTCTGCTGGGCCTCATCAAGACCAGGGCATTGCTCAGTCATTTCCGAATAAGACTTCTCCAGTTTTTGCTAAGCCTGCTAAAGTTAAAATACCATTTTAAAGTAGCTTTACTTTTCTACAGAAATATCTTTACTAGGACTTCTAGGGACTTAAAGCTCTCAACCACGATTTGTATAACCTGAACTGTACCAATGCCCAGTTCTGGTCACGATGCTTCATGCTTTATCAACTATATCTTTAAAGCACGAGTGCTCTAAGAGGTAAACTGGGGCTAAACGGGTGAGAAGCCCAGTTTGTAACACAATTTAAACCAGCAAAAACGGCAAAGCTACTCCATATAATATTTGAGTTGTGATTTCAGCTTCTGAGCTAATGCGTTGCAGCAAAGGGCAGCAGTAGAGTGCAGGGCTTTGAATACGCCTCTCATTTTCCTAATTATCTCTTAGGAACTGTGCCATGTCAGACACTGGAAAGTGTGTCCAGTGACGGCATTTTTTGTGCTTTTAAAGCATCATTTTGGAACACTTACAACTGACTCTTCTTTTTCATATTAAAATGTCTGTTGCCTTAAATGTCCATGAATATGGCACATTTGACTATAATCAAACTGCACACGTAAACAGACAGAACTAGAAAATTACAAAACAGATGAAGAATCTGATTTCTTTAAAAGCTGTCATTCTGTGTCTGGTGCATTTCTTTCGCAAATAAGTGTTTCTGTGCTTTTAAATAAGAAATTGTGAACACATTTGTACAGAATGCTAAAATTAAAAGTTCAAAGAAGGAACACTCACCAAATGGTATTTGCAGCACAAAATTTTCTAAGCCAGCCTGTAATCCAAGGAAACACTTTACTCCACCCAAAATTTGCTTTCTCTGTCTCAAAAGCCCAGTTATTAATCTCAATATAAATGGTATGTTCTTCACCTTCTTTTAGATATCTTTTTGATACATTAGTGTGCCAGCTAAGTATGCAGAAATAAGAAACTGTGTAAATAAAAGCAGATCATAGTTCCCCCCCATAATTCATTCATGTGTCATGTCCCCCAGGCCCCTCACAAAACAAACAAACAAAAAGCAAACCATGAGGGCGGGGGGGAAATCTGCAATTAAAACACTATGCAGCTAAGATCCCACTATGATTTTGATTCTAGACTTGAGACTCTTAGAATGTGCTAAGCTGTTCCACAAAGCTCATTTTTCCTACAGGAAGTGACCTAATATACAAAGTACTTCACAATTTTCAATCAACAGAAATACAGATATGAATGTATTAAGCCAATATCTATAAAGCAAGACATTAGGTCACTTCCTGACAAGTAATATCTGAAATCGACATTTGTTACTGCACGAAAGCGTGCTCAGAAAGTGTTACTTGAAACAAGAACTTTGTATTTTTACAGAGTGGGTATATTGGCTCTGCGACCTCTGTAATCACTGCTGATGCATATTCCCTTCCCTGCCACTCCCCTGCGTGTCACCCTCCAACATCCCTTCCTCACAGCATTTCAGTACAGTACTGGTAGTTGGAAAACAAGCCTTTCTTCTTTAATTTTTTTATTGGCAGGCCCAGAAATATTTCTATGGTAAGACCGAGACTTGGTTAGATTGTCTAGCAGTCAATTTAAGAAGTATTTTGCAAGGATTTTGGGTGAGTGAAGCAGGGAAATGGTCCTTTTTGAGGGGAAGGAGAAACAGAAAAGGAAGGGCCTGATTGTTTTTCAAAGCAGCTTGATAAAAACATCCCTCAAAAGAAACCCAACACAACAGGCCTCCATCAAAAGGATGTTGATGGGGGAGGAGGGGGCAGACCTGGCATTAATGGAAAATCCGTTCCATCACAGGAGGCTCACAGGCTCATGGTATATTAATTATTTATAATGAGCAAATGTGCTTGGTCTTTTTTCTACCCGGCCTGCGACCCTCACCCCAGCTTGACTGAACTAGGGAAACATTAACAGCAGTTATATATTAAGCATACTGAAAGCTGGCAGCATGGAAGTGTAACAAGAAAAGCCAGTTGTGCCAAACACTCGGTAGATGGAGGGAAGGAGGGAAGAGAGAGAAAGTGGATGAGATGGAGCGGCTGGAAAGGCCGTCCCGAGCGACCCACGCCAGGCCGCCACGCACCATTTACTTGCTGGGTTTTTCTCTGTACTCAGAGTCTCTAACCGAACAATCCTAACCACAAAGCAAGCTGCAATCTAAAAATCAAGCCACAGCTTGCTTTAATGTTCAACCAAAACTGTGATGACTAAGAAATAAAACCGATGTTGCTGAACTGGCTACGGCTGCTTTTTCTGTAACATGCATAAATGTAGGTTGATCGTTATCATTTAAGCTGGAGTTTAAAATTTTTCCCTTTTCAATTCTGGCTGCTTGTGAACTGTATATGACACAAATGCCAATTTCTGATTTAAAATTTTCACTCTAAACAGAAATGCTCAGCTACATGTTGGTCAATACAAACAACTGGTATGTAACTGGATCAATGTAAAGTTATAAACACGATAGCACACTGCTGTCTCTTACCATTATTCATCTGTTTCTGGTGGTTGGTTGAGATATATAGCATTGATATTCAGCTCAGATAAGCATGTGAAGAGACAGCTATACACATTTAAAAATAGGTAACTACAAAAAACCAAACAAACTATAAAGATAATGCAATGGAAAAACAAAACAAAGAAAATGGGCAGAAATCCCAGCCCAACCAGGTATGAACCTGACTCGGTACAAACCATCTAAGCTTACAAAAACTTTCTGAAGAAATAGAGGAGTCCAAACTACCTTGATTGCAGAGTCAGCAATTTCCTATCTATCACAAGTGACTCAACTGCCTAAGTAACTTTCTGCCTCTCCTACCCAAAGACCTTTCCCTGTAATCACAGCCTTGCAGCATACTGTAAGAAATACTTTTGTGGTTCTCTGAGCAGCTCAGTGACTGCCAGTCACTAAACAGCTCAGTAAATCATACTACTGTTGTGCACAAAAATCAACAAGAGTGGTCTACAAGCCCTGACAATGGAAATACTGCACTTGCTTAAGAGAATTTTCCCCATAATTAGCAGTTTATCCAGAGAACTCACTTCCTGAATATGACATGTACACTACAAATAAATTTTATTTAAAACACCTTTCAATAACATTTACAAAACAGCTACAAAAATAAGGCTGTGCTTATGAATTGTATAAGTCATATGCAAATTCCAGATGGAACGGAATCTCCAGAGTTTAAAAATATCATCAATCCAGGAAGGAAGTTTAGTTCCAGTGGATGCTTCATCAATGTAAACTCTGTTCAGGTCAAACTTTCTAAACAAAAAGCCACAGTAGCTCCACACTCGACAATTTACTGCTGGAAGAAAAGCTGGAGTGTTGTTAAGTGGTTCCTGACTCTTCTGCTCATTCACTTTACTATGCGTTAAAAGTACCTTAACAAAATGTTAAATATAAATATTGTTTAAATGACAATGCTCACTCCTCGGAGTATGTTCTGGTGACAGATAAGAGTTTAAAATCATAATGGCCTTGGTTTTTGTCTTTTTAATAACACAGCATGCATCTTTCTTTGCCATCTGTTTAAAACCACTATAACTAGGAAAAGTCATTTTGTTGTTTGATCCTATATGAGACTGTGAAACCGCCCAGGACAGTGCTTATTTCAGTATATTCCTAACCTAAGTTGCAAATTCTCTGTATTTTATTGCATCAGAACATGAACTTGGAAGGTTGGATTTTTTTCCTACAGAAAAGCATAAAATATGCGGAATTCCTTTAAAACATGTATCCTTTTAGTTTTATTATTTTAGCCAAATATATTAGTTAAAACTATCTGTCAAAGTGCTACACTTCAAGTAAGAGTCTTTTATCCTTTTATTCCTTCATATGCTCGGTTTCATTACAGAATGGACAGATGTAGATATTTATTCATAACCACAGAACACCTTAAATCAGAGTTAGAAGTAATGGATTTTTTCCTTGTAACTCCCATTCTTAGATGACGCTGTACTCCGCAGCAAGGTAAGATTTCATAATGTCATTCAGAAAGCCAGAAATTGCATTTCAGGTAACACGCACACCTTGCTTTTCATCTCAAATGTGAAGCTGCCTTGAGGTGAACACCATTCATTCTACAGTCACCAACCAAATACCCATTCTTAAATTTGTTCCTCTTGCTGAACGCTTTGCAATAGCGATTTATTTTCTCCTCTCCAGCCTCTTCACATACCTATGGTTTCTGGCAGGTCCAAGAGCTCGTTGTGCTGCAAGTCGAGGTTGGTGATCTGCGTGCAGCTTCCAATCTCTTCGGGAAGATGTTCAAGCTGATTGTGCGCTACATCCAGCGTTATGAGGTTACACAGCTCACCTACAGGCACACGAGAAAACCAAAACCATCAAGTTCTTTAATGTACAGCTTTAGACAACTACTGCCACACAGAGATCAACAGAATCGGACAGGTTTTGGGATAATCTGAAAAAAGTTACTGCTACCATAATGTTATACACATAAAATAAGGCATTACAGGATCATAATTTCATCAGTCAGATCTAAAACATGAGCAACAATTTTTAAAAACTCAGATAAAGCTTTTATAGATTTTTCTGAAGGAATCTTATTTATTCATTGATCTTCTTCTGACAGCTCAAGCTGTGGAATATGAGTACAAAGCCTATACCTCACATGCTTCAGGCTGTATCACAGACTAAGTGGACTGTATTGAATTTTGAGAAACTGAGATGTGGTTTTACACCATGAATTTCTTCCAGGCACAAAATCAACAATTAAGAGACATCAAAATTATTTGGCTGATAATCCAGATAATACACCCAAAGTCTTGAGTGATATTTTTAACCATTTTTAGTTACCACAAAAAAGGCAACATATGATAAGTAACTTCTAAATGTATTTACTCAGATTATTTTGTTTTATATATGCAAGCAGAACTATAGCAAATAAAAGTTTGAAATAAATGGCTTATCTGTTAAGTCTTTAAAAAGATTGGACTTGCCTAGAATTTAGAGCTACTTTACACACTGAACTGCTTCATTCTTGACATTTACACATTAATTTTGAAGTACAGCTAGGCGCAGCTCTCTAGATACAATAGCTTCACCTATTTTCATGACAAACCGTGTTCTGAGCAAGAGCTTGTTGGGTTTAAAAAAAGGTGTGTGCATGAATACAAGTGTATGCGTTCCCATTTTTGACATCTGATGGGGGTAAAGTTAAATCACATTATTTGAACAGCTTCAACTCTATCCAGTAAAGATGAGGTCACTGTATTTGAGCATGACTCAGTGAGTAACAAATTTGGAAGAGCTGCAAATTCCTTTTGAGGAGCAAATGTCTATTTTTAAGCTTCAGTGTTGTACCTTTGACACAATTTGTTAAGGATTTTCCCACAGGCCTGCAGGATGAGCCTGGGCAAGTTCTGATGCCTACCCATTTAGATCAGCATATAATCACAAATGGTGATTCAAGAAATCGTAAAGTATTTATGAATTCAGACTCTGTACTGGGTTGCAGGTGTCATGTAGCCACAATACTTACTACATAACATGAAACAGTTGTGAAAGACCAGGAAAAAAAAAAGCCAACCCCAACAGCTTCATTTTTCTGTTTTTCTTAGACTGTTAACATGTAACTGATCTTATTTCTTGCATGTATTAACCAAAATGGATGTTTTTCTAGCAGCTAGGCAGATGTACATCTAAAGGTGGTGCTTAAGCAGCTCTTCCATCACTCTGTGTGTCCCCCTCCTCTTAAGTCAGTATTCAAGTGTATTCCAGGCAACCAGAGTCAATAGTCAAACACGCTGTATGCAGCACTGTATAATATGCAGAAGAAAGCAAATTTAAGAAAAAATTGAGCAAGAGTTCATGTTCTGTGGTAGGAAAACAAGTGGGCAAAGTGGAGACGGCAATAAGAGGAGGAAGAAAAGCTTGAGGGAGACTTCAAAATCTCTCCCTTTAAAAAAAAAAAATAACCCCACAAATCTTTACTAAGATAACTCAAGAACCTTCACACACTTCGGGGCAGTAGTTTTCACTTCATGGTTGCTGTTTTCATTTGTTTTCACTTCAGACCTAAACCAATGATGTCAAATTTGAAATGTGGCATAAATTTCATTTCATCACACTGACTTCTCATTTACTTGACTCTTCCCACTCTACATCTGCTGAAGTCGAGGAAAGACTTGGGTTTTCGCAGCAACATTTGCTGCACTTCATTTTTGCACCTGCTGAAAACTTTGACAACAGCAAGCTACGTGTTTGAAACAAACATCTCGCCAGCTAATTCTGGGAAGGGGAAAAAAAAGAAGAGTTTATTTATGCCATTTATGTTTATTTAGCCAAGTAAGGGCAAGTTAGCACTTTGGTTTAATTTGGATAGCCATACTTAATATTGTTATATTAAAGATGCAGACATTATTTTTAAACTTTACACTGGTAAACATTTAATAAAGCCTTGACATGAAGTACAGTGACTGAAGGAAAGCAATTTCAAGAGATATTATAATATTCAGCATTTAGTTTGCATTGCTCAGTGAGGAATCTTGCTCCTGGATGGAATAATACTTATGGTTTGACAGCATCTAACCCAAATGTCTTTTTTTCCCCTAAGGACAGAAGGGGAGGGAAGGTGAAGTGCTGTGGGCACTGAAATTCTCTCAGTACTTTAATTTAGATTGCTGAGACACAACTCAGAGAGCGTGCAAGTCAAAAAAGAGCACTCAAGGTACATTACTCCTGTTTATCTCCTTGATGTATGGAAAAAGTTTTTACATATGATATGCATCTCTTCACAAGGTTAAAAACGTTTAGGTGATGTGTAGAGGCTCATCTCCACGTGCAAAGACACACAGAGGGCCAGCAGTGGGTGGAAGAACCCAGATACTCCCTGGGCTGTCCCAGGAGCATCATCAGTCCCATGGCCAGTGTGAGACCCATCGCAGTGAGTACACGGAAAGGCTCTCCAGAGCACCTCGCAGACTGGGCTGCTACTGCATATGGAGCTCAAACACCTACTACAAGGTCCAAGGAAGGGCAGTTTGGGATAGTAAGAGTTGCTATGGGATCTTAGGGAAGGGGAAAGTGAAGAAACAATATGGTTTAGAAAGGAGACGTGCAGGAAAATAGAGGGATAAGGAAATAAAGAGGTCCAGTCCTTTACAAACCAATCCTGGTCATGTCCTGTGCCCGATCAGCACCGTCTGCCCCGTCTTCTCCTTAAACTCTATTTACAACTACTTTACCAGGCAAGGAGCACTTTGTGCTGAGCACATGGGGATCTAAATAGCTGCAATGCTGCAGTTAATGTGACCAACACTACTGAAGACATCCCAGTACGTGGGACCAGAACCACCCGGGCACCGAGAGCCTGCCGCCACCAGGACAGCTGCTGAAGAACAGGGGCGGCTCTTCTCCAGCTGAGTGACGGCAGCGATTTACCCCGTGAATGGACGCACTGTGCACTGCCCTGCTGCACAACAGCAGCTCTTTCAAAAACTATGCCAGGATAAACACATGGCATAAACAATTGATACAGCAAATAATGATCTGCAAGAATAAAGAGGCCAATCTTCATGGCATCTGCACAATGCTGTTCCTAGGAGCAGATGTAGGCCCAGCTTGTATCAGTGATGGGGAGTGTCCTCCTTCTTGTCTCAACAGTGGTAGCTATTGAAGGAAACACTTCTCCGAAGGTGAAAATAAGTTTCAGCAAGATACAACTGAAGTGTGGCATTTCTGCTTGGCCAGGGTGAGAAGCATATGTCAAAAATCAAAAAGAAAGTTCTCATAAAAGAAAGATTTGCTCATGATCTTATTCAAATTAAAAGAATCAATATTTGCTCTTTTTTAGTGTACTACATAAACATTGCTGAAACATGTTCATATCTTAATCAATTTAACAGAAATACGCCAGCTAGAAATGCGCTGCAGCTCAAAACCAGCCTTACCCAGAAAGCAGTTTACTAAGGAAAAGCCCATTCCCATTCACCACGTGGACAACTCCAGCACCGCTTCACCAGGGACTGTTTGTACACCCAAAAACAACAGAGCAAGACAAGCACTACTTTAGGGAAATACTAACTGCAGGTAAAATGAACTCTTTTTGCCAGAAGTAATGTCCAAAATTGACAAATCTTAAGCCCACAATAATGAATAAAGGATTCTCTATAGACTTCTTGCAACTGCACTGAAGGGACAAGCATCCTCAGGACAATTAAAAACTAAACCAGGAAGGTGCTGGGGTTTGGGGTTAGCTGGGGTTTTGGTTTCCATTTTGGTGGTGTTCTTTTCTTTTCTTTTTTTTTTACTTCTTACAAAATCCTGTATCACGCTGTAACTGCCAAGGAAAAAAAGCAATCGAAGTCTGCCAAGGAAGCAGGCAGAAACTGTGTGTACTAGCTGGCTTGACAATAAAAGACTTTAAAGTAGAAGTAATGCCCATATGAAATACATAAAGTAGTTTCTCTAAAAACAACCTTCACTAAATAGTTACATCCTATTATGTAGTTTTCAAAAATTTGTATTTTAAAAGGTAAAGACAAAAAATTTGGACAATTCATACACATTTTTCAGATAAAATAGTTTGTGAAGACTCCCCACCACCTTCCAGTTAAAGACACTTAAAAATAAAGCCATGTATACAGCTCAACAATCCCCAAAAAAGGTGGGGTGAGCAATCACCTCACTGTTGCTCTCATATGTGCAGAGACTAAATGCTGTAGTATGACAAAGCTAAATACACCTGCTGAAAAACCCCAGCATTATGAAATGACTAAGATTTTCTACATAATGAGGCAGAATTACAGCCCTATTACATGGCCAACCTTGAAAGCCTGTTATGACAAGAGGACCAAGTTACATGCCCTGAATTACGTAACTCCAAAAATCCTTCTTGGCCTTCTAAAAACAAAATACAGCTTCATTAATAAAACATAAAAGTACACACAAATTAACAGTAGTGAAGGGGAGAGTATAGGTCAATAGCAGAGGGGCTTCAGTGTTTCCTACCACTAATTCACTCAGTGGGCAACGCTCTTGGACAGCAAACACGATTTGTAATATAACCTGCTTTCCACTGGATTAACTCTGTCCCTGCCCAGGCTTAAGCAGCTTGAAAATTATGAAATCCTTCACAACATGATAAATCCTGGGCCAGATGACACAGCAAGAGGATCAAGACTCTGATGGAAAGTACAAGGAAGAGGAGAATGCAAGTATTAGTGGGACTTCAGGCTGGTGTATCAGAACACTGGTTGTAAGCTAATTTGTTAAGAATAATTATCCGAAATCAGCAATGCTGGGAACAAATTACAAATACTTCCCATAACTTTGGTAGTTATTAATCTCTCTCTA